GAGTCACACAGAGGGGGGTTCTTATTCCCATGTCCTGCCAACCACAGCGGCGGCAATATATATTTAAGGAGACGGTAAAGTTATTTTGGCCGTCCACCTTATATACGCCTAGTCTCAGATTTCTGTCTTAGGCGGTACTAGTTTACTTTTTAGTTTATTAGTTGAATTTTATTTTTTTAGTTTAGTTTTAATTTATGTTAATTCTTTTAGTTTAACTTATTTTTGCATACAGTACTCATTTGAGCATATTTACCTATCGTTGACGGTATCTGAGCAAACCAAAAACTAAACTAAACCTAAAATTAAACTAATAAACCAAAAAGGAACTTAAAACCAAACTAATAAAAACTAAAAGTCACCACAGGAGTAGGGGTTAGAGGTATCTAAGGTGCGCGACCACCTTAACTGTTAGCATGGAAACTAAAATGAGTACCAACAAAAATTACTTGTGACATGGTCTCCGCCGGTTTACTGTAGTGGAAAAAAACCAATATCTGAGAAATTAATGCTCGTGACCCAAGCACGGCGTAAGAAACAGGTACAGAATAAACAAGTTATTGAGTGTGAAAAACAAGCGATTGCTTATCATGAAGCGACAATTCCTAACGCGAGTGGGTGCCATTTACCCACCTGTAAAACAGATAACAAGCCAAATGCCTACTAAAAAACGGAGAATGTCATACAATATCCAATACGACATCAGCCGGCGCCCCCAATTGCAGAGTAGAGACGCACCTGTAGGCCGGTAGGCCTCAGTTGATACTTAAGGCACTAACCGTCATGAACCTTAGTGACACATCTTCTATGCTAGCCGGTTTAACGAGTATGATTGTGAAGCCATAAAACCACAGATTGAGGGGAAAATACTGCTGGGTTCCGATTTGTATGCGTGTCCTAAGTAAAATGATTCAGCTGTCTAGTTTTATGAAACATATAGGGCTAGATCTATTATGCGTCAATCAGGGTTAACGTGTATAATACAGACAGGTTCTAGCATTCATTCTACTTGGAGAATTAAACTCTTATTAGGCTTATGAGTGAACTTTACTTAACTGTTTCTCAGGTCCACGACAATTGAGATTTCTGAGAAAAATAAGACAATAAGCATATCCGAGTGCACCCTGCTCATAGGCTCGAACACTACGGAGAATCCACGGAGGTAAAAGTCAAATTGGTCGTTCACCTTAGATACATCAAGCTCCGGTATTCAGTCTAACTGGACCTACGGGATTTGTGACGTTTGGTTTATTAGCTTAATTGTAGGGTTGTCTAGTTTAGCTTAGTGTAGCATTGTATCTACTGACCTCAGTAAGCATGATTACTAGAATCTAGCACGATTAGTACAGGCACGTACCTATAGCAACCGTATGTTAGTCCGTACCTAGTTGA